CCTTTTATCATTTTTTATTGCATCTATTTGATTCTTTTCTCTTTTCATCTCTATTAGCCTTGCTAGGGATCTATCAATTTTGTTGATCTTTTCAAAAAACCACCTCCTGGATTCATTGATTTTTTTGGAGGGTTTTTGTATCTCTACCTCCTTTGGTTCTGCTCTGATCTTAGTTATTTCTTGCCTTCTGCTAGCTTTTGAATGTGTTTGCTCTTGCTTTTCTAGTTCTTTTAATTGTGATGTTAGGGTGTCAATTTTAGATCTTCACTGGTTTCTCTTGTGGACATTTAGTCTATAAATTTCCCTCTACACACTGCTTCAAATGTGTCCCAGAAATTCTGGTATGTTGTATCTTTGTTCTCATTGGTTTCAAAGAACATCTTTATTTCTGCCTTCATTTCGTTATGTACCCAGTAGTCACTCAGGAGCAGGTTGTTCAGTTTCTATGTAGTTGAGCGGTTTTGATTGAGTTTCTTAGTCCTGAGTTCTAGTTTGATTGCACTGTGGTCTGAGAGACAGTCCGTTATAATTTCTGTTCTTTGACATTTGCTGAGGAGTGCTTTACTTCCAACTATGTGGTCAATTTTGGAATAAGTGCAATGTGGTGCTCAGAAGAATGTATATTCTGTTGATTTGGGGTGGAGAGTTCTGTAGATGTCTATTAGGTCCACTTGGTACAGAGTTGAGTTCAATTCCTGGATATCCTTGTTATCTTTCTGTCTGGTTGATCTGTCTAATGTTGACAGTGGGGTGTTAAAATTTCCCATTATTATTGCATGGGGGTCTAAGTCTCTTTGTAAGTCTCTAAGGACATGCTTTATGAATCTGGGTGCTCCTGTATTGGGTGCATACATATTTAGGATAGTTAGCTCTTCCTGATGATTGATCCCTTTACCATTATGTAATGGCCTTCTTTGTCTCTTTGGATCTTTGATGGTTTAAAGTCTGTTTTATCAGAGACTAGGATTGCAACCCCTGCTTTTTTTTTTGTTTTCCATTTGCTTGGTAGATCTTCCTCCATCCCTTTCTTTTGAGCCTATGTGTGTCCCTGCATGTGAGATGGGTCTCCTGAATACAGTAAACTGATGGGTCTTGACTCTTTATCCAATTTGCCAGTCTGTGTCTTTTAATTGGACCATTTATTCCATTTGCATTTAAGGTTAATATTGTTAAGTGTGAACTTGATCCTGTCTTTATGATATTAGCTGCTTATTTTGCTCGTTAATTGATGCAGTTTTTTTCCTAGCATCAACGGACTTTACATTTTGAAATGTTTTTGCAATGGCTGGTACCTATTTTTCCTTTCCATGTTTAGTGTTTCCTTCAGGATCTCTTGTAGGGCAGGCTTGGTGCTGACAAAATCGCTAAGCATTTGCTTGTCTCTAAAGGATTTTATTTCTCCTTCACTTATGAAACTTAGTTTGGCTGGATATGAAATTCTGGGTTGAAAATTCTTTTCTTGAAGAATTTTGAATATTGGCCACTACTCTCTTCTGGCTTGGAGAGTTTTTGCTGAGAGATGTGCTGTTAGTCTGATGGGCTTCCCTTTGTGGGTAACCTGACCTTTCTCTCTGGCTGCCCTTAACATTTTTTCCTTCATTTCAACTTTCGTGAATCTGACAATTATGTGTCTTGGAATTGCTCTTCTCGAGGAATATCTTTGTGGTGTTCTCTGTATTTCCTCAATTTGAATGTTGGCCTGCCTTACTTGGTTGGGGAAGTTCTCCTGGATGATATCCTGAAGAGTGTTTTCCACCTTGGTTCCATTTTCTCTGTCACTTTCAGGCACACCAATGAGATGTAGGTTTGGTCTTTTCATATAATCCCATATTTCTTAGAGACTTTGTTCATTTCTTTTTACTGTTTTCTCTACACTTCTCACTTCATTTCATTCATTTGATCTGGTATCGCTGACACTCTTTCTTCCAGTTGATCGAGTTGGTTACTGAAGCTTGTGCATTCGTCACATAGTTCTCGTGTTATGATTTTCATCTCTATCAGTTCTTTTAAGTACTTCTCTACATTGGCTATTCTAGTTAGCCATTTGTCAAATCTTTCTTTAAGGTTTTTAGTTTCATTGCGCTGGTTACGTAGTTCCTCCTTTAGGTCTGAGAAGTTTAATTGACTGAAGCCTTCTTCTCTCAACTCATCAAAGTCATTCTCCATCCAGCTTTGTTCTGTTGCTAGTGATGAGCTGTATTCCTTTGGAGGAGGAGATGTGTTCTGATTGTTTGAATTTCCAGCTTTTCTGCACTGCTTCTTCCCCATCTTTGTGGTTTTATCTGCCTTTGGTCTTTGATGATGGTGACATATGATGGGGTTTTGGTGTGGGTGTCCTTTCTGTTTGTTAGTTTTCCTTCTAACAGTCAGGACCCTCAGCTTCAGGTCTGTTGGAGTTTGCTTGAGGTCCACTCCAGACACTGTTTGCCTGGGTATCAGCAGCAGAGGCTGCAGAAGATAGAATATTGCTGAACAGCAGGTGTTGCTGTCTGATTCTTGCTCTGGAAGCTTCGTTTCAAGGGTGTACCCAGCCGTGTGAGGTGTGAGGTTCAGTCTGCACCTAGTGGTGGATGTCTCCCAGCTAGGCTACTCAGGAGTCAGGGACCCACATTAGCAGGCAGTGTGTCCGTTCTCAGGTCTCAACCTCCGTGCTGGGAGATCCACTGCTCTCTTCAAAACTGTCAGATAGGGACATTTACCTCTGCTGAGGTTTCTCCTGCTTTTTATTTAGCTATGCCCTGTCCCCAGAGGTGGAGTCTACAGAGGCAGGCAGGCCTCCTTGAGCTGTGGTGGGCTCCACCCAATTCGAGCTTCCAGGCTGCTTTGTTTACCTACTTAAGCCTCAGCAATGGCGGGCGCCCATCACCCAGCCTCGCGACCTCCTTGCAGTTAGATCTCAGACTGCTGTGCTAGCAATGAGGGAGGCTCCATGGGTGTGGGACTCTCTGCACCAGGTGTGGGATATAATCTCCTGGTGTGCCATTTGCTAAGAGCTTTGCTTATGTGCAATATTAGCGTGGGAGTTACCCGATTTTCCAGGTGTTGTGTGTCTCAATTTCCTTTGGCTAGGAAAAGGAATTCCCCTCCCCCTTGTGCTTCCCAGGTGAGGTGATGCCTCACCCTGCTTCAGCTCTCACTGTTTGGGCTGCACCTGCGGACCAGCACCAACTGTCCGACATGCCCCAGTGAGATGAACCCGGTACTTCAGTTGAAAATGCAGAAATCTCCCGTCTTCTGTATCGCTCACACTGGGAGCTTGAGGCTGGGGCTGTTCCTATTTGGCCATCTTGGGCACACTCCTGGAGTTGAACCTTTGAATAGACCAATAGCAGGGTCCAAAATTGAGACAATAATTAGTAGCCTACCAACCAGAAAAAGTCCAGGATCAGATGAATTCACAGCCGAATTCTACCAGAGGTACAAAGAGGAGCTGGCACCATTCCTTCTGAAACTATTCCAATCAATAGAAAAAGAGGGAATCTTCCCTAACTCATTTTATGAGGCTAGTGTCATCCTGATACCTAAGCCTGGCAGAGACACAACAAAAAAATAGGAATTATAGGCCAATATCCCTGATAAACATTGAAGTAAAAATCCTCAATAAAATACTGGCAAACTGAATCCAGCAGCACATCAAAAACTTATCCACTACGATCAAGTTGGCTTCATCCCAGGGATGCAAGGCTGGTTCAACATATGCAAATCAATAAACGTAATCCATCACATAAACAGAACCAATGACAAAAACCACAAGGTTATCTCAATAGATGCAGAAAAGGCCTTTGACAAAATCAACAGCCCTTCATGCTAAAAATACTCAATAAACTAGGTATTGATGGAGCATATCTCAAAATAATAAGAGCTGATTATTACAAACACACAGCCAATAGCATACTGAATGGGCAATAACTTGTAGCATTCTGTTTGAAAACTGAGACAAGAAAAGGATGCCCTCTCTCACCACTCCTATTCATCATAGTATTGGAAGTTCTGGCTAGGGCAATCTTTCTTTCTTTCTTTTAATATGTCTTTTTCTAATTTTAATTTTAATATGTGTTTCTTTCTTTCAATATGATGTATCATATTTTTTTTCCCTATGATAAGCCATTGTGGCATATCTGGCATGAATCCACCTTGATCATAGTGAATATTCTTTTCAGTGTGTTGTTGAATTTGCTTTGCTAGTGTCTTTTAAGGATTTTTATATCGATATTTATTAGATATATTGGTCTGTAGTTTGTGTGTATGTGTGTGTTCTTGTTTGGTTTTGGAATCAGGTCATGCTAACCTTGCAAAATTAGTTTGGAAATATTTTTTCTTTTAATTCTGGAATAGTTTGAGTAGAGTTAATATTAATTCTTCTTTAAATGTTTGGCAGAATTCTGTAGTTAAGCTATCATATTCTGGGCTTTCTTTTGATGCAATAGCTTTCTGTACTGATTTAATTTTCTCACTCTATATTTATCTGTTATATTTTCTATTTCCTCATAATTTAATATTAGAAGGTTGTATGTCTCTGGAAATTTATCCAATTATTCTTTTATTAAATTTAGTTACATATAGTTGTTCATAACAGCTTCTTATGATCCTTTGTATTTCTTTAATATTATCTGAAATGCCTCTTTTTTACCTCTGATTTTATTTGAGTGTTCTCCGTTTTTACTTCAGTATTCTTGCTAAAAGTTCATCAATTTTCTTTTTTCTTTTCAAATACCAATTCTTTTTTTATGTTTTGAATTGCTTCTCAGTCTCTATTGCATTTATTTCTGTGCTGAGGTTTATTATTTTCTTCTTTCTATTAATTTTGATTTTATTATTTCTTGCTTTTACAGAAGTGAGGGTTATCATTTAGTTACAATTTTAGGTTAAACTTAAGAACTAATCAATATTAAATTAATTTTTGTTTTTACTTCTACCAGCAGTTCAAGGTGTACTAAAGATAAAAAAAATCAATCATCCAAAGTTCAAAGTCTTAGTACGTAATTGGTGAGGAGCTTGCACTTTGGTTTACAAAATCTTTAGATTCTTAGCTTTCAACTGCGTTTTCAAAGAGCCCAGCAATGGATCTCTTCATCATCCTGGTGATTTGTCTTTCTTGTCTGATTCTTCTTTCTCTGTGGAACCGAAGCTATGCCAAAGGGAAGCTTCCACCTGGCCCAACTCCTCTCCCCGTTATTGGAAATATTCTACAGTTAAATACTAAGAACATCAGCAAATCCATAAGCATGGTAAGTATGACTAATTTTCCTTTAGTTTTCTGCAGTGAGTAAGTCAGATATCCCCATAACTAAGCAATATATGTCCCCAGATACCAAGTTTTAAAGAGATACCTTTATAGAGATGTGTCCATTAGACACCCAGATATGCCTTTATAATGTAGACATATAGAAGAACATGCAATTGGTACATCCAAAAGAAATGAAGAAATCAGCAAGTTTGAGGCAAATAAGTGTTTACTCCAAATGGATGTTTCAACTGGAAAGCAATTATAGACTGTATCACCTAAGAGAAATGTTGGAGATAAATGCTTGGTGCCACAAAGTGAAACTAGCACTCAGGCAAAAGTTTTCTCAGCAAGGCAATTTACTTCTTCAGAGGGGTGCTGCCTGCATCAATCACGATCACAAGAGTATAGTGAACAAAGGAGAGAAGGAGGTTTTATCTCTTCCACGTAGTCTCTACCTCTGTGTCACTCACCCCATGGACTACGGTCAGACCACACAATCTAAGCTGACCTGATTAGCTATTTGTGAATATTTTCTTAAATAAGGAAGGGAAGGGAGATGTGAATTACAGTGGTGGGCCATGAAGTTTCAAAGGGTGGAATGGGTGCAGAGTGGGTAACTAAGTAAACAGAGGTGAGTTATTGATTAGAGCTGACAGGAAAGTAACTACGGGCAAGGAGGCATGGAGAACAAGAAAGTTGAGTTTGAGAACAAAGAACAAGGAAGTTAACAGGCTAAACCTTTGAAGAGAAATTCATTTTATGCAAGGAATATGGGGGCTTCCATTTATATAGGAACTCGTTTCAATTATATAAATTATCAGATTTCTTCATTGGTAGATTAAGCAAATAATGCATCATCAGTCATTAGTACAAGAGTGCATTTGCATATTTGAATCAGATGTAACTTATATACAAAGTTTTCTTGTATTATATATTGTTGAGAGCCCAGTTATTTGTGAAGAAAATGTTTTTCACAATTCCTTATTGACGTCAAAGTTTATCAGCAGTTCAACACGGCAGTAGTTGCTCAAGATGTGTCATTCCTGCCACCAGTGGAACATTACTAAGATCATTGATCCATGTTATGATTGTTGATATTGCCAGGAGCAGAAATTCTTTGTCAATATTGTAATCCAGGTTGCTTTAACTCTTCCTTGGTAAATGCTAGTGAAAATGGAACAGCTTTTAGTTTTTCTAAATAAGCACCGATTTACAGTGTCACAGCACCACGTTTTCATAAAGCATATATGAATTGAAATCAAGGGAATTACTAAGGGTTCAGATCTTTCATATTTCATACTGTAGTTCTCAATAAATGAGTAACTTCTCTACTCCAAGTTGTTTACATAGCAGTTGCTCTCTAAAGCCTGAAGAATGATGTGGAATCTGTCTTTCTCTTAAGAAAGCCAGTTACTGGAATACTGCTTCTGGAAGCTCATTCTTCCTATGCCTTGGCTTTGAATTGAAAGAGATTGTGTCAGCACCCCAGCTCATCTATTGATTATTTAAATTCACAGATTTAAGCAGGATTAAAACCTCTCTTCGCTTTAATTTCCATTTCTTGAAGATGTAAATAAGAAAGATTTTGCACAGGTTACTTAAGTACACCACATTTTCTATAAGTAATTAAATACCTCCTTGCATGGTGCATGTGAGTTTCAATGGCAAAAGAAAATTTAAAGTGACCCCATCATTAAGGAACTTACAGTTTAGAGGATAGGAATATATTTATGAAACAACAATGCAAGTAAAGGTATGATTACAAACTGTGTAACAGGGACATGGTAGAAAGAGACCATGTAATTTCAAGGGACTAACCAGTTAGAGGAGCATTCAGCAGCAAAGGGTTCTCTGAGTAATTGAAGTTGGAGCTGATAATCGTAAGAATGATTAGGAATTAAACATATCAAATATCAACAAAACCCAATTTCACATGTTTTTAATCTGGGGGAGAATTGCTTCTGTTGATGAAAAGAGTCAAACTGCAAAATACTTGAAGAGATTTATTCTGAGCAAATGTGAGTGACTATGACCCATGACACAGTCGTCAGGAGATCCCGAGAATATGTGCCCATGGTGGTCAGGGCACAGTTTGGTTTTATACATTTATACGTTTGAGTATGTACACATGAGACTCCTGTCAATACATTTAAGATATACATTGGTTTGGCCCAGAAAGGTGGGATAACTCGAAGCAGTGGGAGAGGGGCTGCTTCCATGATATCCAGAGTTTAAAATTTTGTGATTGACGATTGGGTGAAAGAGTTATTGTTAATAGAGAGGAATGTCTGGTTTATGATAAGAGTTGTGGGGACCAAGGTTTTATCATGCAGATGAAGCTTCCAGGCAGCAGTCTTCAGAGAGAATAGATGGTAATTGTTTCTTATCAGAGTTAAGGTCTGTGTTAATGTTAAATGTTGGTCAGCTTTTGTTGAATTCCAAAACGGAAGAGGGCATAATGAGGCATGTTCAATGCCCCCTTCCCATGATGGCATGAATCAGTTTTTCAGGTTAAATTTGGAGGGACCTGGCCTAGAGGAGGAAGTCTGTTTAAATTGCTGGTGGTAAGGGAGTGGGGCCAGCTGGCGGTGAGAGGGGTGCTTTGAATTTTATTTTTGGTTTACACTTCTCTCCCTAAGACCCTGAAAAGAGGACAAAAGTGTTTGTAGTTCAGAGACTAAGTAAGAATATGGTACAAGCTGAGAGTAGAGAGGGAAGCAGGGGAGAAGACATGCAGGCCTTGCATGGATGTAAAAAACACTTGTTTTTGTCATAAGATCAATATGGGCCGAGCCTGGTGGCTCACACCTGTAATCCCAGCACTTTGGGAAGTGGAGGCAGGAGGATCACCTGAGGTCGGGAGTTCGAGACCAGCCTGACCAACATGGAGAAACCCCATCTCCACTAACAGTAAAAAATTAGCAGGGTATGGTGGCACATGCCTGTAATCCCAGCTACTTGGGAGACTGAGACAGGAGAATCACTTGAACTTGGGGGGTGGAGGTTGCGGTGAGCAGAGATCCTGCCATTGCAGTCCAGCCTGGGCAAAAGAGTGAAACTCCATCTCAAAAAAAAAGGAAAGAAAAAAAGAGCAATGTGATACCATTAACATGCTTAAAGGACAGTCAGGTTAACATCTTCCTTGTGAAAAGGTCACTATAGTTTGTAGTATGAATTTTTAGGTTGGCAAAAAGAGTTCTACAATAGAAAAGTTGAAATATTGTAAGTCCTATATCATTCAGGATACCACATAAGCTGATATTACAGAAAGATGATACTGAAAGAAGATAGGAGATTATTTCTATCTCACACAAGAAACTCTAGGTGCTTGCTGTCAGCTTGCCTCTCCTCCATGATGCCATTAAGAGAACCAGTTTTGTTTTTTTTTTAAATCTTTGTAGTTCTAGTATCTTCTGCCTCTAGACTATTTTTCTCATTTGCATGGTCATAGTAGGGGCATCTCCATGCTATTATTTCAACCCATGGGCAGGGGCAGAAATGAAGGGGAAGCAATTGTCTGTTATGCACAAATGTCGAATTTTATCACAACACTGTGCTTACGTGAGTTCATGGAATCTGAGTCACATGGCTGCATCTAGCTTTGAGTGAAGCTGGGAAATATGTATGACCACATTGCTATGTTATCATGCATTATAAAAATATGGCAGTATCTCGTGCTAAAAAAAAATGATCAAGAATGAACAATGATGGACAATTATTAGACTACACATGAGGCAAAGTAGATGGACTTCCCTTAACCCAAAGAAGAAACACAGAATTTACTGTAATTGTAAGAAGATAGGAGAAAGTTGGTACAATTATTAATTTGGCATAAAAATTTAATAAAATAATAGGAACAAAATGTATAATATAGCCCCTGTGATATAGTAGGGGCTGAACAAGAAATAAATATTGAAGCTGATACTAACACTAATAGAATTGTTACTAATAAAGTGATGATAATTACTATTCAAATACTTTCTTCTTATCAAATAATTGATTCTAAAGAATTAAATTTTATATACTTGGTGGAGAAGTATTAAAACATCTTTCTGGCAAGTTTAAAAATGTTTCCCTAAGCTATCTACATTTTATTTTTGAAATTTACACTTTATTTGCATCTGCTATTCTTTTTGCAGCTAGCAAAAGATTATGGCCCTGTGTTCACTGTTTATTTTGGCATGAAGCCCACCGTGGTGTTACATGGATACGAAGCAATTAAGGAAGCACTGATTGATCAGGGAGAAGTATTTTCTGGCCGAGGGAGTTTTCCAGTGATAGAAAAAATTACCCAAGGATTCGGTATGCTTCCCTTTGGGGTATGTGTGTGGGTCTGTAAGTTGTAAAAATTTGAAAAATTTGAAGAAATTGAGAAATCATAAGTGTTTAAAAAAATTTATGAAACACACTTTTCATATTTTCTACCTGAGGCTAAGAATAATTTTTCTATAAAGGATCATTTAAATAATCTATATTTAAAATCCGTGAAAGTGACACAATGTCCCTGTTAAACATTATATTCAATGATAACAAGCCATCTAGCCACTAATTTTTCACGAATTTGTTACAAAGAGAAGTTCATCATAAATTATGGTCAGTTGAAAAAATAGAAAAGCAATAGAGAGATGAGAGAGAGAAGGAATATTACTTAGTTATCTTATTCGCCAAATATTTTGCTCCCGGGTCTTAGTCATGGATACCCAGAGATTATTTTAGGAAGCTTGAATAGTGTGCATGGAACCACATGAGTTTGGAATATTTCTATCCTCACCTTCAAATATGATTCTAAAAAAGCATGAGCAATATTAGAATACAACAGAAGACAAAGCATAAAGCAAACGTATGTTCTGAAAACATCATGGAGAAACATGATCAGAGTATGAGTATGTATCAGAATTGATATTAGAAAAAGCTTTTTTGATTAAGTGCTGGAAATTTCTTTTATTTGTTTTTGGAGCTAGCCTTAAACTATCAAGTCTTCTGGTGGATCACAGGGTTCTGGCAAACAGAGATATGACCTGAACGGGGTTCTGACTTCTTCTGCACTGTTTTCTTTTTTTTTTCTTTTTTTTTTTTTTTAATCATGTCAGCCCCTTTATTTATTTATTTATTTTTAAATTAATTTTTTTATTTTTTTATTATTATTATACTTTAAGTTCTAGGGTACATGTGCATAACGTACAGGTTTGTTACATATGTATACTTGTGCCATGTTGGTGTACTGCACCCATCAACTCGTCAGCACCCATCAACTCGTCATTTACATCAGGTATAACTCCCAATGCAATCCCTCCCCCCTCCCCCCTCCCCATGATAGGCCCCGGTGTGTGATGTTCCCCTTCCCGAGTCCAAGTGATCTCGTTGTTCAGTTCCCACCTATGAGTGAGAACATGCGGTGTTTGGTTTTCTGTTCCTGTGATAGTTTGCTAAGAATGATGGTTTCCAGCTACATCCATGTCCCTACAAAGGATAGAAACTCATCCTTTTTTATGGCTGCATAGTATTCCATGGTGTATATGTGTCACATTTTCTTCATCCAGTCGGTCACTGATGGACATTTGGGTTGATTCCAAGTCTTTGCTATTGTGAATAGTGCCGCAATAAACATACGTGTGAATGTGTCTTTATAGCAGCATGATTTATAATCCTTTGGGTATAGACTCAGTAATGGGATGGCTGGGTCATATGGTACATCTAGTTCTAGATCCTTGAGGAATCGCCATACGGTTTTCCATAATGGTTGAACTAGTTTACAATCCCACCAACAGTGTAGAAGTGTTCCTATTTCTCCACATCCTCTCCAGCACCTGTTGCTTCCTGACTTTTTAATGATTGCCATTCTAACTGGTGTGAGATGGTATCTCATTGTGGTTTTGATTTGCATTTGTCTGATGGCCAGTGATGATGAGCATTTTTTCATGTGTCTGTTGGCTGTATGAATGTCTTCTTATGAGAAATGTCTGTTCATATCCTTTGCCCACTTTTTGATGGGGTTGTTTGTTTTTTTCTTGTAAATTTGATTGAGTTCTTTGTAGGTTCTGGATATTAGCCCTTCGTCAGATGAGTAGATTGCAAAAATTTTCTCCCATTCTGTAGGTTGCCTGTTCACTCTGATGACAGTTTCTTTTACTGTGCAGAAGCTCTTTAGTTTAATGACATCCCATTTGTGAATTTTGGCTTTTGCTGCCGTTGCTTTTGGTGTTTTAGACATGAAGTCTTTGCCCATGCCTATGTCCTGAATGGTACTACCTAGGTTTTCTTCTAGGGTTTTTATGGTATTAGGTCTAACATTTAAGTCTCTAATCCATCTTGAATTAATTTTCATATAAGGAGTAAGGAAAAGATCCAGTTTCAGCTTTCTACTTATGACTAGCCAATTTTCCCAGCACCATTTATTAAATAGAGAATCCTTTCCCCATTTCTTGTTACTCTCAGATTTGTCAAAGATCAGATGGCTGTAGATTTGTGGTATTATTTCTGAGGGCTCTGTTCTGTTCCGTTGGTCTATATCTCTGTTTTGGTACCAGTAGCATGCGGTTTTGGTTACTGTAGCCTTGTAGTATAGTTTGAAGTCAGGTAGCGTGATGCCTCCAGCTTTGTTCTTTTGACTTAGGATTGTCTTGCAGATGTGGGTTCTTCTGCACTGTTTTCTAAGAGGCTCCCTGGAAATGTTTCCTATGAGCCTATTTTTTCCCCTTGATCTGGTCTTGACTCTGGCAGCCTAATATTGAACTTCTTTGATGTTTCCTTCCATATTTCATGGGAGAGATTTAACAAATAGAGGGGAAATGTTGAAATGAGACTAGCTGTCTGTTTAATGACTGTACCCCTTATCTGAGAAATGATTATCAGGAGATATCTTCCAATGAAAAAGTGCTGTCTCACATTCTCCTGATAATTCCCTCTTCTTGTTATTTCTCTTAAAATTAACTTACAATTTGAAAAGCCAGCCCTGAAAATTTAAGCTATGACCAGGACTCACCATGTTTATTGCTGCAGGATCATGAGCAAGCATTTTGCCTTTATGATTTTTAGCATCCCGTAAAACGGGACAAAGCCTTCAGTTTACAGAATTATTCTGAGGTTTAGTGCAGTTGGTGGATTAAGAATAGTTTAGCAATATGCAAAATTAAGAATCCTGACAGTTAAATAGTAGTTTGGGTTCAAAGAGGAGGCAGGTGTGATGAAGGGCTCAATGTGAATCACTGAAGCTGACACCATTATATTTACATCCCTGCTGAAATGTCAATATCATCTCCTGAGATGAGAACTGTCAGCTCGTATTCATAACAATGAAGACTATTTTCTCTCTCTGTTTTTTCTTTTGTGTTGATAGGAGTTATTTTTAGCAATGGAGAAAGATGGAAGCAAATTCGGCGTTTCTCTCTCATGGTTTTGAGGAATATGGGAATGGGGAAGAAAACAATTGAAGACCGAATTCAAGAGGAAGCCTTGTGTCTGGTGGAAGCATTAAAAAAAACCAATGGTGTTTATTTCTTCATATAATTAACACTAATAGTTTGGGTAGAACAAATGGTATTGTAAATAGACTACAAAATATGATGATGGCTGAAGTATCATAGTTTACTTTTTGCTCACATAACAGTAATTAGGAGGTGAAGTGTTTGGAATAACAGTCTTTTTAGGTACCAGGTTAATTGGGCTTTGATATCTTCAGCAAATGTCTTTGAATATCATCAATGGTTCATATCTCTGTGTGATACAGGAAGGAGAAAAGAGCAAGTTAAAAAGCAAATACTTTAGACCAGGCATAGAAGTGGCACACATAACTTCTCTCATGTGTGCCACTTAGTAACAAGGCCACACCTAACTGCCAGAGAAGCTGGAAACTGTGGTTTACTCTGTGCACAGGAAGAAAAGAACATGGATTTTGGCAATCAGCTATGAGTCTTGGCCACATACACTTAAAAAATTAGGTAACTTTTCTAGTAAAGTGTTTAAGAACAATACAGGGGTTGCCAATTACCCCCAAAGTGTGGGGCTGCCATTCACCTCTCATAATGGAGTGTGGATATGAAGAGATGGTACTGCAGCAGCACAGATCTCTGCAGTGCGTAGATGTGTGTGTGCACCTGCAGGGCTGGGAGAGCAGGTGGAAGAGAAAGGGCTAGGCAGGCAAGCAAGGGGTAAGATCATAAGATATATGTGGTTTTATAATGTCGTGTATTGAATGAATATTTTTATGTGTTTAACTAAATGTTTTTCAAGAACATTATTAGCTGGATAGTACAGTAGTCCATTATTTTGGACACACCAGAGTTTATTTAACTAATCCTCTGTTTTGGCCAGATAGGTTGATTCTAGTTTTTCCTGCTCTTAATATACAAGAGTGAAACCCATACTAATTATTGTAAATCTCTGACTACTTTCTTTGAATCAAATTTGGAAATAGAATTAGTCAAGCAATGAATATTGAATTTTGGCACATATTATCTGTGAAATTATTTGTATCCTTAATTTGTATTGAAGCAGAACTTGTTATTAACTCGTTCAACTTTTCCCATGGCGAATATGGCCTTCTCTGAACTCCCTGACCTTTAGTCGTCCAAAATCTGCTTAATTCCACTTCCTTGTAGGGACCTCACACTCTTGGGGAAGCCCATTTAATCACTAATAACACTAACAGTTGGAAGTTATTTCCACAGGTTGAGCAGAGCTAATTTACATAGTAACTTCTAATTTTTGATCTGAGCTTGCATTGTCCTTCTAGAGTTGTGGTGTTGTGGTTGTCACCACACAGAGGCAGGAGGGACCTACCTATCATCCAAAATCTGGTTTAGATGATTACAATAAAGATTCGACACAAACACCAATAGGATATGAAAGGTTTATTACTCACATAATATTGCTTTCAATGAAGAGCAGGCTGACACCCAACCAGGTCCAAAATGACACTGAAAGAGCAGCAGGAGGATAGTGGCATGAGGTTTTCATGGCAATTAGGGTTTAGGGCTGGGTTGAAGTTTCCTGTGTGCAGGTCAGGGCTTGTGTGGCTTAAACTGCCTATTTGTGTTAATGGAAGGAACTGTTACATATTTTTTTTTAAAGCATTTCCAGATGTGGGTACAAGGGGAAGAGTTCAGGGTGAGTCTTATAAAACTTCTAGCAATCAAACATCCAAAAATGGAGCCATGCTCTTTATTGCATATACGAAGTCTATTTCTACCCACAATGTAGTTTTTCAAATATGTAACTATAATTCCAATTTCTCTCATTATTTTTATCTTTTACAAAAAAAGACAACCAAATTTTTCAACTCTGTTTTCCATGTTGTGTTTCAAGTTTCTTCAGTATTTTGATTTTTTTTTAAGTTGTTTAGTTTTCTGTTGGCATCATGAGGATGTATCAACACTGATAATTAAATTCCATACATTAAAAAATATTTTAAATGGCCTCTTTTTATTTTGTATTCCTTCTTGTGAATTAGAACATTTTGGAAAATGATATAAATAGGAGACTTCTTGGGGCAAAATTATCAAATAAAATGGACTGGATTAGACAGTTTTATTTGGATAAATACAGCAAATTTTATTTTAAGCATTTGAAGTTTATTGTAATGGTGGCATGTCCAGGTAGGTTTTATTTCTAGAAGATCTTAGAAGTCAATCATTTCCAATTATTTTAAGCAGTCAATTTTAGATTTATATGAAAATTGTGTTTTAACTTCTGACTGGCATTGTTTGTAGCATCTCCCTGTGATCCCACTTTTCTTCTGGGTTGTGTTCCCTGCAATGTCATCAGCTCCATCATTTTCCAGAATCGTTTTGATTACAGGGATCAGAAATTTCTAACCTTGATGAAGTATTTTAATGAAAACTTTGAAACTGTGAGCAGCCCCTGGATACAGGTAAGGCCAAGGTTCTTTTTAGAATGTGTAATAGTTTTCTAGCTCATCTATAGCTCATGCCTACCCCATCTCTCTGCCCTATTTAAAAATGTCCAAAGCAATGCTTGTCAAACTATCGTTTGCAACACATTAGTGAGTTATCAAATCAATCTAATGTGATACAATAAAATTGAAAATATGAAGTAAGGTAGAATAGAAAAAAATACATAATCTCAGAGTGCTACATTTATAGTAAGATTTGTTTAGATGAAACTTTTTTTGTTTGTTTTTAGATCGTCAGATATAGAGGGTAGTGATTTAAGATGTATTTCTTATTAAAGTACACTGTCAGAAAATGTCAGTAACCTATGTTTTACAATCACAACAACTAAAATTCTATACTGATCATAAGTTCCTGATGTGACATACCTTCAAAGGACCCTAGAGAAAAAATAGTCTAATGTCTCTTATTTACTGGAATGGGAAACTGACGCAGAGCTATTAGGCATATTTTTCAAAATAGCCTAGCTAAGAAAATGAACATCAAAATCTAGAATCTAGAATTCCTGATTCCTGATTCTGTATCTAGTTTGATTTAAGCTACAAGCCTGAATATATTATGTGGATGTGTTCCAAAGGTATTAGGTCATTGGGGTGTTGTCTAAATTAAAGCATGTTCTGTAAGCTCTAGGACCAGCAAAAACATGAGTCAGGAAAATATGCACATTCTTTGGGGTGTAATATTTAAATTTTATATATATATATATATATATGTATATGTGTATGTTTGTGTTTTTTTATATATATGTATACGCTAAGTGATTTGGGCAGTTTCTTAATCTTTCAGATGTACTATTTCCTCATTACAACAAACGAGTATGAGTCTTCAAAATTTTTAGACTATCCCCTGGTAAAACATATATTGTGTATACTGGTGCAAACACAGGGTATTAGCTCTGAGATCACTAGTTTGGTGTCTTCGAATTGTTGATTAACCTTATGAACTTCAATTTGCTCATCTGAAGAGAGGTGACAACAGGGGTAATTTCTTGACTTCCTTCAGAGAGTTATGGTTAGGAAATCAACGTGATTGGCCTTGAAGTTGCTTTGTAACCTGTGCATACTCTCTGCCTACTTTTTCAGTGCTCTCTCCTTCAAATTCAGAATGCATTCCTGTGCAGGAAGCATGTCTATTCATCTTTATCTACTTAGCATATAACCAGTGTCTGATAAATGATAAGGACCAGTGTTTGGTGAATGAATTAATGATGGATTCTTCCTCCTTTCAGCTCTACAATGCTTTCCCCTTTTTACGGGTTCTCCCAGGAAGTCATAATGTGATATTTAAAAATTTTGCTCTCCAAAGAAGTTTTATTTTGGAGAAAGTAAAAGAACATCAGGAATCTCTGGACATCAATAACCCTCGAGACTTTATTGACTATTTTCTGATTCGAATGGAAAAGGTACAATGTAATTCTGATTTGCTACTTTATCTTTATGGGTGTCGTGACTCATTGATATGCTTTGATTTTCCCGGTGAAACTGAGATATGAAAACAAATGCTATATCCTAAAGTGTATTAATTGTTTATGCAACATATTACCTGTGTAAGCCATATTGCATGTCTCTGGATATTTCTAAGTTCTCACCCAAAGAGACTTAGGTTTTATGTTTACCATGTTAAAGCTGATTCCTTATCTGGGGGCTGATCAAAACATGCAAACACACACATGCACACATTCATTCAAGACTGATGATAACATATCATGGTTCCATGAAGAGAAGATGTAACAAATGAGGGAACACAGGAATGGATAGAAACCCAGACAGGCTTACTTTTGGGCAATCTCTAAGATATATTCATTTACAGATGAGGTAGGTTTGAGAAACTCTGACTTAGTTAAACAGGGAGGAGAAAATAGATCCAGGAGATGATGAGTACAGTAATGAAGTTTGTGAAATTTTCAAAGAGGCTCTAATGATTGTAATTGAAGAGCAGTCTTGGGTGTAATGACTGATGGAGTTGTAAATACTGCTGTAGTTTGGGTGTAATTAGTTCAAGAAACTTGAATGAAAAATTAGATATGATGAAATAGACAATAGATGCTAGAGTTGACAGTGATTAGCAGTGATGACTTAATCAAAAGTATGTTTAAAAAATTACAAAGGAACTGACTGGCTCTAGTGGGTCAGAAATTGAAGAATCAGAAAGTACTTGAATATTTGTGAGTCCGATGTTATTTTAAATTTGAAGCAATTCTAACAGTTCACCTAATATTATCTTCACCCATAGCACACTCTAAAGTCTGGCTTAATTGGCCAGGTACTGATGTTGTACTGAATAGTATTGTGTTACTTGAAAAGCTTTTTATTAAGTAATTGTAACATGTCATTGCTAGGAAAAACACAATAAAGAGTCTGAATTTACCATGGACAACTTGGTTGCTACTATATGGGATATGTTTAGTGCAGGAACAGAGACAACAAGCACCACAATGAGATATGGACTGTTGCTCCTGCTGAAGCACCCTGAGATCTCAGGTATGATCACAGATGATGGGCAGGATCAAATTTCAGGTAGAAACGGACAGAAAATACTGATAACCACCCCACAGTTTACCTGCCAACACAAGGTACAACAACATTTCTCATCATTAGTACATCTACCTACCACTGGGTGGATTCAATTCAAATTAGTTCCTAGTATAAAAGGAGAATAAAATGTTTAAATAATGATAGAGATTTGAAAAGCAGAGGCCATTATTCTCCCTGCGATGGTATAGGATTCTTGATTTGGTTTGGAACAGATGCAGCAGTGCGGCATTGTTATTTTGAACAATGAGCTGTAGACTTCAATAGTAGTGGTTTTGAATTCTGATTCTACTAATAGGTGGCTGGCTTGACCTGCAGACACATGATTACTCTCCATATCTGTGATCCCTTATCTGTTCAAGGGGGATAATATGGGAAAGACCACATATTCCCTGAGCATCCTTAGGAAACTATTTACTTCTCTGGACTTGTTTCTTTGTAAAGTACATGAAATTATACCTACCACATAGAAGTTTTTTGAAGAATTATAAAGTAATATAATGAAGACTGCAGTGTGTCTGTCCTATATTATGAATACCTTCTGAATAAATTTTGACTTGTTAAGTTTTTGTGCTGAATCAAGTTAATATCTCATTTCCTGAACTGCACTGTGTACTTCTTAGATTACTGAAACTTAAATATTTAAGATAAAATTGAAATACACAAAATGGTTAAACTACAAGGTCTTCAGTGATTCTTCAGGAACCCAGATCTCTGAGTCTGTCAAGAAAAAGTACACAGAGTAGGGAATCAAAGTTGAGGATTGAACGTCATGGTGCAATTGTATTTCATACCTGCATACCTGTGTCTAATGCGCTTTCAGTTTGCCCAAGAAACGTAAACTGTGTGTCCTTTTTTTTCTCTTATGGAGGTAGTGACACATAATTTTCCATCATTGTCCTATCTCCAACTACAATGGGACAATGATGAAGGGATCCTACAAATGGTACTTCAAGTTTTTTTCTTCTCATAAATTCTGACTCCTGCCTTGCCAGCTAAAGTGCGGGAAGAAATTGATCATGTGGTCGGCAAAAACCGAAGTGTCTGCATGCAGGACAGAAGCCGGATGCCCTACACGGATGCTGTGGTGCATGAGATCCAGAGATATATTGACCTCACCCCCACCAGTTTGCCCCATGCAGTGACTCAAGACATTCGGTTTAGAGAATATCTTATTCCAAAGGTGAGAGATATTATGTCTATACCCTTCCTTAGGTGTCTTAGGCAATCAAATATCATAGCAGTAGAACTGTAGATTGCCTAATCTTCTACAGGTATGGCACACTCATAACTCAGGCATTCTACCCTGTAACCACATTCTTCTTTCCCTCTAGTTTTTGATACAAGTTTCTAAATGTGATAGTGCCTAGACTCCCACAGGATTTTCCATGCTTTGATAGCTCCACACTCTGCCTGTCCATTAGCCCAGTGTGCTATCCTGTCCCTTCCTTTCAATTTTATGTTTTATTACTCTTACCAATTAACCTGTATCCTATATCCCACCCCTTCTCTACTGTCCCTATGACTTACTTGTGAAAAGTCCAACATAAAAGTCTCCTTCCTCCCTGCCTGATTATTGGCTACTGACCTGTGCTGGAAAGGACCATGCAGCCCAGCAGGTTGATATTGTTATCATCAATGCCAAATGTGGTGGTTTAATTTTTATCAATGCCAAAAGTATTGTCAATCTTACCCAACAATCCTGCTTTATAATCTAACTCAACTTGCTTCACCATACTCCACAATGACTTTCAACCTTGAACTCTTCTCAACCTTTCATTATCTTACTTTTAATAGGTGACCTGCTCTTCCATCTCACAGAAAAATTAGTCACTGGAAGTGGACTCCTCTAATGCTTTCCATTAGATTTACATACTTGGCTACATTTACAACCTTTGATTCTCTTTCATGTCAGTTGCTGTGACAGATGGGCTTTCTTTTGTTCTACTATAAGCTGTTTTAACTGTGGCATGGATCCCTTCTCTCTTACTTTTTCAATTATCTTCCTTAAGTAATTATTTCTTCTTCCTTCCTCTTCATCTTCTCCCTTCTTCCTGGCTCCTTTTTATCAGCCTGTGAGCATGATCAATTCTCTTTTATTTATGATTGACACTTAATAATTGTTCATATTTTTGGAGAAGAACATCATGTTTAGAAACATGTATGAGTTGTGTAATGATTAAATCAGGGTAATTAGTATCTCGATCACCTTGAACATTTATTATTTATTTGTGATGAGAGTGTTCAAGAACCTCTCTATTAGCATTTTGAAATCCATTTGTATTAGTCTGTTTTCATGCTGCTGATAAAGACATACCTGAGACTCGGCAATTTATAAAAGAAAGAGGTTTATTGGACTTACAATTCCACATTGCTGGAGAGGCCTCACAATCACGGTGGAAGGCAAGGAGGAGCAAGTTACATCTTACATGGATGGCAGCAGGCAAAGAGGAAGCTTGTGCAGAGAATCTCCTTTTTAAAACCATGAGATATGAGACCCACTCACTATCACAAAAACAACATGGGAAAGACCTACCCTCAGGATTCAATCATCTTCCACCGGGTCCCTCCCATGAAACGTGGGAATTGTGGGAGCTACAAGATGAGATTTTGCTGGGGATACAGAGCCAAACCATATCATTCTGTCCCTGGCCCCTCCCAAATCTCATGTCTTCACATTTCAAAAGCAATCATGCCTTCCCAACTGTGCCACAAAGTCTTAACTCATTTCAGTATTAACTCAAGAGTCCACAATCCAAAGTCTCGTAAGAGATAAGGCAAGTCCCTTTGCCTATGAACTTGTAAAATCAAAAGCAAGTTAGTTACTGCCTAGATACAATGGGGGTACAGGCACTGGGCAAATCCAGCCATTCCAAATGGGAAAATTGGCCAAAACAAAAGGGCTTCAGGCCTCACACTAGTCTGAAATCCAGTAGGGCAGTCAAATCTTAAGGCTCCAAAATGATCTCCTTTGACTCCATGTGTCACATTCCAGTCATGCTGATGCAAAACATAGGTTCCCATAGTCTTGGGCAGCTCTGCCCCTGTAGTTTCTCAGGGTGCAGTCTCCCTCCCAGCTGCCTTCATGGGCTGGTGTTGAGTGTCTGCAGTTTTTCCAGGCACATGGTGCATGCTGTCAGTGTATCTACCATTCTGGAGTCTGAAAGATGGTGGCCCTTTTCTCACAGCTCCACTAGCTGGTGCCCCAGTAGGGACTCTGTATGGTTACTCCCACCCCACATCTCCCTTCTGCACTGCCCTAGTAGAAGTTCTGGCTAAACACCCTTTGGAAGTCTCCAAAGCTTGAGGCTTGCACCCTCTGAAGCCATAGCCAAAGTTCTATGTTGACCCCTTTCAGCCACATGTGGGATGCAGGACATCAAGACCCTAGGCTGCACATAGCACTGAGACCCTGGGCCCAGCCCATGAAACCACTTTTTCCTTCTAGCCCTTCAGGCCTGTGATGGAAGGGCTCCCACAAAGATCTCTGACATGCCCTGGAGACATTTTCCCCATTTTCTTGGTGATTAACATTCTTCTCCTTGTTACTTATGCAAATTTCTGCAGCCAGCTTGAATTTCTCCCCAGAAATGGGATTTTCTTTTCTATTGCATTGTCAGCCTGCAAATTTTTGAAACTTTTTCCATTTGCATTTGGAACTGAATGCCTTTAACAGCACCCAAGTCACTTTTGTTTTTGAGATGGACTCTCGCTATGTCACCTAGGCTGGAGTACAATGACATGATCTCAGCTCACTGCAACCTCTGCCTCTTGGGTTCAAGCTACTCTCCTGGCTCAGCCTCCCGAGTAGATGGGATTACAGGCATGCACCACCATGCCTGGCTAATTTTAGAAGAGATGGGGTTTCTCCATGTTGGTCAGGCTGATCTTGAACTTCCAACCTCAGGTGATCCACCTCGGCCTCTCAAAGTGGTAGGATTACAGGCGTGAGCCACCACACTGGGCCTACTTGTATTGCATCTATGTTCTTCAGAGATAATGGCCTGCAGTTTTCTTTTCTTGTTTTGTCTTTGGTATTAGGGGAATCATGACCTCATAAAATGATTATGGAAGGATTTCCCCCTTTACAATTTTTCAGAAGAATTTCAAAAGAATTTTTCTTGGAGTGTTTTTAAATGTTTGGTAGAATTCAGCAGTGAAGCCAAAAATAATAGTCTTTGGCTTTTCTTTGATGGGAGATTTTTATTACTGATTTAATTTGTTATTCAACTATTATCATTTTCAGATTTTTTATTTCTTCATGATTCAATCTTGGTACATTATATGAGTCCAGAAATTTATCCATTCCTTCTAGATTTTCCAATTTGTAAGCATATATTTCTTCATAATAGTCTCTAATGATCCTTCGCAATTCTGTGGTACAGTTGTAATGGCCTCTTTTTCATATCTCGTTTTACTTATTTTGGTCTTCTCTCTTTCTTCATAGTCTAGCTAAGGGCTTGTCAGTTTTGTATATCATTTCAAGAAAACCTAAACTTTCTTTCATTGACTTCTTCGTATTTTAGTTTCTATATCTATTTCGTATTTTATTGATTTATTCAATAATATTTACAATTTTTGTCCTTCTACTTATTTTGGATTTGGTTTGTTTTTGGTTTTTATAGTTTCTTAAGTTTCAATGTTAGATTGTTAATTGAGATTATTCTCTTTTTTGATGTAACGGTTAATTGTTTTAAACTCCATTGTTAGTACTGATTCTACCGTATTTCATAGATTTTTGGTATGTTGTACTTCCATTATCATTAGTCGCAAGAAATTGTTAAATATTTCCTCTTAATTTTTTCATTACCTCATTGGATCTTTATAAGCATGTTAATTAATTTTTAGGTATTTGTATATTTTCTGTTCTTCATGATTGCTAGTTTTATTGTACTATTTTCAGAAAAAAATAGTTGATTTGATTTTAAGTTTAAAACTCTGTTAAAACTTGTTTGGTGACTTACCATACGATCTATCCTGGAGAATGTTTCATATGCTGTATAGAAGAATGTGTATTCTGTAGCTGTTGGGTGGACTGTACTGCGCATACCTGCTAAGTCAGGTCAAAAGAACAGTTTAACACCACTGTTTGTTGTTTGATCTGTCTATTGCTGAAAATAGGGTATTACGTTCTCTACTATTATTGTTTTGAAGTCTATTTCTTCCTTTAGGTCTATTAATATTTGCTTCATATATTTAAGTGCTTTGATGTTGAGTTCATGTACATTTATAATTTTTATACCCACTTGAAGAAATTCCCCTTTATCGTTATATGATCACCTTCTTTGTCTGTTTATACAGGTTTTAATTTAAAGTCATCCCTTGGTATTCATGGGGAATTGGTTGCAGGACTCCTTGTAGATATTAAAATGCACATATACTCAAGTCCCATAGTCAGCCCTGCAGAATTCATGCATACAAAATGTTGGCCTTTCCTATCCATGGCTTTTGCATCCCATGAACACTGTATTTTGATCTGGTTTATCTTTTTTCTTTCAGGGCACAACAATCTTAACAGATCTGACTTCTGTCCTGTACGATGACAAGGAATTTCCCAATCCAGAGAAGTTTGACCCTGGCCACTTCCTGGACGAAAGTGGCAACTTTAAAAAGAGTGATTATTTCATGGCTTTTTCAGCAGGCAAGCAAGCTTTTTATGTGCACATCAGGGGTCATGTAAGATAAGGAAGGACTCTGCATGGAGGCTGCTCTGGGCTGAACAATTTGCCATTTGCATAAGGTCAGAGGCACCACTCCCAAAGACGGTTATTTCTCATGGGATTGGTGACTGCGTTCATAGATTCTGCTTCCTGGTCCACTACGTAGGTCATTAAAAGTTCCTCCTAGAAGTCCAGTTCTAGTAAAACTTTTCTCATTTACCCTGAGAAGCCAGTTCACTCAATAAACTTCACTGAGTACCTTACATATGGCAATGCAATGCTCAGGTCCAGGCATACAAATGTGAGTAAGTATTAGATCTTTTCTCTAAGAGAAAGGAAAACCAATGAAGAGGCAATGAAATTCCAAGATCACAAATGCTATGCTTGAGGTTTCTTTGGGAGTCCAGAGAAAGGGAGGGAGAGAGAGAGAACGTGAGCAAGAGAGAGAGAGAGCGCTTCAGATGATTTATTTGAGAGGGACAGGGGCAGAATAGTTGGAAAGTAAGTGAAATTTTCTTGCAATAAATCACATTTGAGTATCTTCCCTCAATTTTTGATAGTCCTGGAAAGAAACATGCAGCAATGTCAATAAAGTTAATAAAAGAGAGTTTAATAAAGAGATGGTTTTGAGAGGTGTGGGCCAAACAAGGGGAGTAACAAAATGTGGGGAAGAACTCAGGACTAACATCAGCAAGAAGATGTTACAATCCTGGATCAAAAGATTCAAAAGAAGGAGAGTGTTGCTGGCACCTGAATAATGAGCAGATTCCTCATCAAGAGAAGCGTCTTTAGGTAGAGGGATGTTGGCACTGTTAAACTAGTCTGACAGAGTAGGATGGAGGGAACAAATACTCTGAACTTTTCAACATCTGAGCCTCTGAATGTATCCAGAACCCAGAAAGGAACTACCTCCTGGTTTAATGCAGTTCTGAGAGGTCAGTTTCCTGGGAATAGAAAGGCACATGAGATAAACACAAAATGGATCTGGAAAGAGGAAGAAATGGAGAATATTCAGCACACTTCAAAGAAGTAGGAGGCGGATAGGGGGTAGAAGACGTTTCCAACAGAAATAACTGAAACAGAGACAAAAATAAGAGATTTGTTCCTGTTTAATTATATAAGAAAATAAGTGTAGAGCAAGCCTTGATGTTGTGTTCTCAAGATTATGTGCATTGCTCAGAGATAATCTCAAAAAAGCCGTTGCTATGTGACTTCTTATCTCCTTTCATATTTTGGAGTCCACTGTTGCACCATGAGCCTGCTCAACATTTCTATTCATTTCACATGGCTTGCAGGCCAGCTTTTGTCCTGACAGTGGGTATTAC